CTCAGTTCATGAATTTGCAGGGCGCTTAGCTAAACAATGCAGCGCACTCACACGTGTGAGTAGCTCGTTAATTTGGATGGGCCCCTAATGACCTCTTGATGCCTCCAGCTGAGCAAAACGCACAGGAGAAGCTGGCTGGGATGGCATGAGGCTTCCTAAACTAGATGAGAACGATGGCAACGACCCCAAAAGACAAAGCCTCTGTTTTTGCTTGAACTTTAATGAAATTAATGGAGAATCCTCCACTTACTGTATCATGCTACTACTTGTAATTGATAACAGAAAGCAAATGAGCAAATGGAGCTAGGGGAAGGTACACAAATTGTACTAGTAAGCTTTGGACCTGTGCTCGAGGCATCTGGTGGTGTACAATCTCATCTTTCAGGTAACGTGGTTTGGTTTTGTTCTACTTCTGTTCAACAAAAAACTATACCTCTTTATATAGCGTGACGCTATGTAATGTGCTGTTGATATGAATGCAATTTCCTCATAGTTCTTAAGCAGCTAAAATAGTTTGGCTGTACAGCACTTGCAATGGTTTTGTTAAAAAAATAAAAACAACAGAAAGCACACACACACACACAAATCCAAACAAAACAGCTCTTGCAAAACAAAGAGGAATAATTAAGAAGGTGGTTAAATAGAAATGATCTTGAATGATAAATCACTTGATTAGTTTTTGCTCTTTTTTTAAAAATTATTTATTGTAGATGAGAATAGGTAGAACTGATACACGATGCGCTCACACTCCACATCACTTAGATCCATCTGTAAATGTAGAGCTGTTGCCACACTTCCATTCTATATGCTGCATATTTTGCAAACAGCTACACCTACACACAGACAGCACGAGGCATTAGGGCTTTGATTTCCAGGATGCTGTATGTACGTGGAGCCTGCAAGCTGTGAAATGGCAGTCATTCCAAACCTGACTCAACTGATTTGGCTGAGTGTTAGCAACAGAAAGCATTATCTAGGTGGGGGGGAGAAGAGGTGGCTGCTCTTTATTTCTGAATGGAGTGCTTAATGGCAAAGATTTTATGAAGTTGTAAGGCAAGTGATAGTAAAAACTGCAGTACAGGGCTCTTGCCATTTGTGGGTGAGTGCATGTGGATGAGGGCTACTTGGAAAATTAATCTCTCTCCATCTATGCTGTAACTGAGTTTTTATCTAGGTTCATTATTGTATGTATTTTTCTTGTCTCCCTTGTGATGTGTTGTAAGAATAAGTGTGTGTTCTCCATCCTCCCTCCCTCTCTTCATCCCTCCTTACCCCCCCTCCACCCCCCCCTCCAAGCTGTAGGGCCAGAAGGTGGGGTGGTACCTCAGGATAATGGTAGCAGAAGGCGAAGGAGGCAGACAGCTGGCAAGTTCTGCCCCAATATGCTTCTCTGAAAGAGGCAAGGAAAATGCAGAAGATGTGATGCCTGAATGGCTCACTTTGCAGCAAAAGGGAAGATTAAAAGTAAAATTAGTTAACATCTTGCTCATTTCAAACCGCCACACGCCAGCTTTTTGCTCCATGCCATCCCCCACCCCTTGCCTTTATTTTTGAAGAGAAGAGAAAGAGAATCCTGGGGTTGTGTAGAAATCCATGTACTGAGCAGCACTTGTAAGACTGAGCACTCCAGGTAGTCTTCCTATTAGCTCTATCAGTCATCTTTATGAGACTGTCTGTTTACTGCTGTTACCTAGTCAACTGCATTCCTCCGTGAGAAGCTTTTATTTGCTGTACCAAGACAATGTTAAACAAGTGGATGAAGGTCTGGGGTAGAAAGGGAGGCTGAAGCAATTAGAATTGCTCAGTCAGGAAGGGGAGCAAGTCAGAGGATGGTATAGGCACATCTAAGGTCACCTAAGACCTTATGCTCTTGTCTAAAGAAGATCCTGTTGTTGTCTACTGTTTCCCAGTGGGAAGTGTAGGTAGAGAAGGTAGGTGGTGATGCACGTAAATTTTATTCATGTTGAAAACAGGGAACAAAAATGTTTTCTCATAGGGTAGCTTATAATATGATCCGGAAAGTAGAGCTATTATCTTCAATGCTTCTTGTGTTCTTGTGTCAGTTTCACCAAAGCATCCTTCATTTTCAGGAAACTCTAAGTGTGTGGTGGGCTGGTAATGCTGGAAAGAATGCTCTGAGTAGAGAATTTCATTGTGTGTGTAGTTTTAACGATCAGGTCCAAGTCATATGACTGTCCAATTTTTTTTTTTTTTTTTGTGAGCAACTCTTGAAGAGGTTTTGTTCTATCCAAGTGGATCTCAACAGTATATTGTACAGTGTCTGATTTTATGTTCAAGCAGACTTTATGTTCTCAATAAAGAAGCTGCTACAGAGTCTGAAAACTCTTATGTCAAAGCAATGGAAAGGAGTAAGGGCATTGATCTTAATTCTTGTCCTCACCATTGGAAATGCTGGCTAATGAGCCCACGCTGTGGGATTGATGTGGGATGGGGTATTTTCTCACAGTTCATGTAACTGAAGGTATTTCTGTTGGGTTAGTGTTTGCTAACTTGGACAGAAGACAGGCATATATCAGTGCAGAATACTTTAGAAAGTCTGTTTAGAGACCAATGCCCTGAGCCACATGTAGAAGTGTTTCCAATAGACCGGTTCTGCTTTTTTTTTTTTTTTGCAGATATTTCCCTAAAGTGCTTACCCTTGTAAGGAGAATTGAGTAACAGGTTGATAGTGGTCATTGATGCCAGCCTTGTCTCTGCTGAAGCCCAGGGCTGATGCAGTCAGCAGTCCCAATGATGATGATTTGAGGGGGGGGGAAAAAAAAAGGTAACGAACTTGTAAGCTGAATTTTTGCAGAAGAGCTCTAGCCCTGGAACAAACACTGACTAGCAACACTACCTGATTAACTGCTTTCCTCTCTCTAGTTTTCTTACACAAGTCAGCATGGTGCAATTGATTGCAGCAGGGGTAAGAGCACAGGTGTCTCCAGTCCTTGTTAAAGTGGAAGAAATGGAAATACTGACTGGTCCTTCAAGTATATTTAACCCCAGTTGTCACCACCTGCAAGTTGGGGTTTTCCCAGCCGGGGGTAATGGTCCTCGTTAATAGCTCTAGCTATCCTGAATTGCCACTTAAGCGGCCAATTGCTTTTTGAACAAACTTGTGTCATCTGCAGTGCCACACAGAAAGGGGTCTCACTGCTTTTCTATGTATTGTGAAAAAGAGGCTGGCGTGCACGTGGATTGCAGACCTTAAAATAAGGGTTTGTAGTGGAAATGCTGAGTCACAGCTTGAACAAGTGATTGAGCACCTGGTGGGAAGGGAGGGCCAATG